GATACGATATTCCAGGGCTTGTATTTCCTTTTATCATTTCCTTGATAGAGGGTTGCTGCTCACAAGGAAGCTATGAATCCAAGAGTTCCAAGTGGTGAAGTTGAAATCATCCCTTCGTAAATTTTACGGAAGCCATCACAAGTGTGTTGACCGTTATGGAATATCCGTTTCACAGATGATAGCGGATATGTTCCTATTGTCGTAACTACGATCCCGACTCCTTTTCCTGAATGTGATCTACCGAATTAGACTTATTACCGGGTTTGTACTAACATGAGCAACACGACGGATACCACATGTGGAGCAGGATCTGCTTACCCTTCCGGAGCACCTGCGATCACCCCCAGTTGTTGGTGGATTCGTGTTGCTCAGTCTTTAGTTTTTTTATGTTGTGTTTTGAGTACTATTGTTTGTCTGTAGGTCTTTTTACTTTACTTTCTAGCCATGGCGTTGTCAGTTTATTTTCAACTTATGAGTTTGAATGTCCATTTGTCATCTTTCGCCTCTTTTATTCAGATTCACCTGTAATGAGAGCGGTATTTGTTTGTAATTCAGAAATACACGTGTATTGAAATTGCTATTTGTTTGTAATTCAAAAATATACGTGTATTGAAAATGCTATTTGTGTGTTAATCAGAAATAAACATGCAAATAAACTAATCATAGATACAGGATTTAAATTTTGTACGCAAGACGCGCGTTTCGTCTTCTAAAGACTCATCAATGACGCTCGAATAAAAAAGTTAAAAATTCCAAATAAGGTACAAAGTTGAAGAGCATTAAGGACCAAAGAAAATTGCAAAGAGAATTACAAAAATGTCTAAAAGAAGCCTAATGCTTTAGTTGAATAATTGTTTTGTTTGCTTGCAATTAGAGAAGACATAGTTGGCTCAAATTTATTAAGATGAAGACTTATCACTTACCGGTATGACATTTTGAAAAAGAAATCGTAAACAAATGTAAAAAGATCATAGCTATATAATCCAGGAAATTTTTCTCAATAATTTTATTTAATTAGATTGACTTTGTAGTACCTATCCAGGATTTTTCAAACGGGGGCGTTATTCCAGAAATTGTATACTTAATGCCGAGCGTAACGAGACAAAATTTGTTTATGAGATTTTATGCCAAAATTTTTTTTTTTTCAATCAAGGGGGCGTATGCCCTCTACGCCCCCTCGATTTGCCACTGTTATCTAATTGATTATCTTATTCGTTTGTTCTCGATCTGAATTTGCAAGAAATATTGTGTCATAAGATGTTAGTACACATACACAAAAGATACCAAGAGTTTTATTAATTTTAAGCTTTATAAATAGACTTTTGTCAATTGATATCCCGTATTGTATGAATTAAAATCCCGGTATTACTAGTCATCGAATAACAGAAACGAGAAAAAGTAAAAAGTTTTAAAATACATTATAAATGAGATCATTCTTTTAAATAGTGTTGTATAGTCCGTTTGAGTTCTTTAAATCTTGATATATATGTATTTTTTTAAAAACTGATTTTTTTTTAATTACGTTATTTGGAATTTTGGTGAAACAGTGTATACTCATGAACTCTTGACGATTATTTTCAAAATTGTTGCTTGAGTAATTTCAAAATTGTCCATTAGGTCTAATGAATAAAAAAAGTGTCCATTAGGTCAAATGAATAAAAATTGTCCATTTGGTCAAATGAATGAAAATTGTCCATTAGGTCAAATGAATAAAAACTATTAATAAGGTAAACAATAAAATTAAACAATATAATTTTTTTAAGACAATACAACTCAAACGGACTATAAAGTACATTAGAAATAGACATGGATTTGTATCGTGACAGTTGTACAGCAAGAGAAATAAATAAAGAAAACGGATTACAGGGTAAATTTAATATGATCTCAGAATCAGGGATGTAAGGAGCCAGCTTCCTTTACGGGTGAAATTTCGGCTTTTAGTATATTTTAGAAAGTTTTATAAATCAAGTTAAATAAATAGTCGACTTTGCAATGAAGATATTCCAGACAAGGAAAACACAGAAAAATTATACTAAAAAGACGTTTAAAAAATTCTCGCAGTGTTTTATAGACCAAAGGCACGTTAGACTTACAAAAAAGTAAACTTGTATCTTTAATGAGCTTTTTACATGTAAATACTAAAAGCTGAAAGAATTAAATTTGTTTATTTAAATTTCGGTCAATGCCTTCTGACACATAAATATCGGATTTTTGTACTTACGTGGGTTTCATCCGGCAATCTCGGAAAAAGTGCAGAATCACACGATTAAATGCAAAAAAATAGAATAAATAAAAGATTTATAAATCAACTTTTCTGTTCAATAAACCGACTTATAAGCTATTACGTAACATATCTTTGAGTTTTTTTACAATCAATGTGTAAAATTATTTCAGATTGAAAGTAGTAAATACCAATTGTTATGAAATGATATTATAACAATTTTTAATTCCCAATTCACTTGAATAAACTATGTCATGACATATCTTAGAAAATATTCATTGTCTCGATGGTATCACGTTATTCACCTAGTGAGTTCTATAATTGGTGATTAGAAGAAGAAAATTTAAAAAAAACATTCGATAGCAAAATTTAGCAAAAACAAAGTAGATAAAGTTTGTCTGATTTTTTTGTTCTAACTGAAGAAACAATGTAATTTCTCTCCTCTTCCTTTCTTGGCTTATCCAAATTTCCATTATGTCACTCCCTGTTTGCGAAAAATAAAATAATGCTTTTTACAAACTATTACAAATGAAATGAAAATGTATTCAACATGTTAGTAGCCTGGGTTTCTTAATGTTCAGTTATGTTCATAAGAAACAAAACTCTGATTTATGAAAATAGTTCTAATCGGTTTTTGGCTAAGGATAAAAGCTTTCGTCATTGGGAAAAGGAGTTATTTTGGGAAAGGCAAAACATAATGGAGAGTCAATATGTTAAAAGTTAATGTTGATTCTAATGTAACAGTTAATTAAATACATTATCTATTGATGATCCGCAGTTATCTTTTAATCTGAAAGGAAACAGCTTTAAATTGTTAGTTATTCTAACTATTTGTTTAGCCTTGCGTTTGTATACTTTCATGGACATTTCCGATCTATTAACCATTTGATTCCGTTTAATACTTTTGTGAAGTGGGATGAAAAATCAACATATTTTGTCAAAGTCGTTTCGGAGATCTGGAAATTCTAAGGAGATTCAGTTGACGATCTGTTTTTTTGGACGAACTAATTTAAGCAAATGTAAATTTGTATTCAGGAATCATTTGATGATAAATGAAAATAACACTTCCGAGTTAGGAGTTATATGACCAAAAGGGACCTACAATAATAGCCAAAAGGTCATCTTTGCCAGAGGGGGTTGGAACCTTAGTTTTTTTTAAATGATTTATTAATTTATTAATGGAGAATATAAAAAAGAAAACATTTATAAATCATGTCAGTACCGAATACTGACTTCTGAGCTGAAGATACCGTCGGGACTAACAGTCTATCGGGTATGGAATCGACCAGTGCTAGTAAATAATATAACACTTTATTATACTTTCGTGCGCTCGGATTTGCTTTTCTGGGTTTATCTTCATCAAAAAATGCTAAAAACCCAAACATTTGAAATCCGAGGATGTTATATAGTGAAAACGTGAGGCGCTAAATTCAGAATGTACTTTAAAAGAAGAATAGCCAAATAAACCAGTGGTAGTGATTCCATTGGAGTTTGCTTTTGTGAAATTGGCTTCCCATTTTGTAAAAACTATTTTCCAATTTCAGCGAATCCTCCTTTTTTGTTGCCGTCTTTATAAGATTTCATCAATGTTTGTTTTGATTATTTATTTTTTTATTTTGTATATCTATGATGTATGATTACACAAATTTGGCTGCTTGATCACAGTTATTGTATCTTTAACCAATGATGTCTGTTTTGGTAGCTCGCACAATTTTATCCATAGAACGGAACTATATACAACTCATACAAGTAGGAGGTTGGAGATAGCTATAAACCCCGGTTTAACTACCCATTTTCTTCAGAAAACGCCTTACCAAATCAGGAATATGACAGTTGTTTCCAGTCGTTCCCTTGGTGGATATAGTCGAGTGTTTGAATTTTTCATGTTTTATGGACTTCCCCTTTTTGAATTTATCTTCGAGTTCGGTACTTTAATAATACATTTTGTGAACGGTTAAGTAGAAGCAAAGATTACTTTTGTAGATAAATTTTCATATGTAAATACTGTTTGTTAGTCTGATAATATGACTAACACGTAAGTTAAAAACAATCTTTAATTGATATGTGGAATAACTCTTAATCATTTTTCTTCAATGAACATTTCCAGCAGTCAAAATCGTGGTCAATACCTAAACAGGATTAAATTAATAAAATAGTTTGTTTTGTATATTAAAGGACATGGTTCACTTTTGGCTAAATTTGGCCTTGAATTTCAACTTCACCATACAATATTACAATGGCCAAAATTTTGTTCTTAAATGGATCTACTTCAAAAGGTAAAACAAATATCTTCATAATGGTATATTACAGGCGCCAAAGTCCAAAAATACAATGATTTTTTTCATTTTTCGGAGCTAATAACTTTATGAAAACAAAAGTCTTAACCCATGATCCAAAATGTTTTCCAATGTTCATATTGAATTCTTGGAAACAAACATTTTCTGGATCAGATATGGCGACCAAAGTTAATTATGCTAAGAAATATCATAAATAATGGAAAAATTGGACCAAAACTGACGGGGTCATACCTTCATAATTTGTAATGGGAGGTACCAAAAAAAGAACTTTTTTTTTATATTTTATTCATTTTATTTTAGTATTTTGGTCTGATCAAAAATAAATAAAAATATTAGGGCCAATTTTAGCCCTTTGTGAACCTACCCCTTTGGTTGACAGCGAGATGTGTCTTAAAGGACAGCCTTAACCTACATTGTGAAGTTTACTTTTATTTTTATATATGCAGATCACTTTACTCTTTAAACTTTAAACTCCATTTCAGAAATATCCAGATGGATATGCGATGTTATAACAAACCTTCAATAAGCCATGGGAGTTGGAGTGATAGATTGAATACAAGTTTGACATGTGGACTGTTTCTTCTGCTGTCTATCGTTACTTGGCTTCGACAGTATATTGGTCCAAATGCAGTTTGCGTTACACCAGAGACATCTGGTGAACAATTAAATAAATATTTTGATAATACATGTTGGTTGTCAAGAGAACTACTATTGGAGCATGACGTAATTCCATTTCACAACAGAGACGTGAAAACTCTTCCCCTCATACAGAATGAAAATAGAAGATTCGAAAATGTGTCACGCTCACTTTATCAATGGGTTCCTGTTATCTTAATAATACAAGCACTTTTCTTCAGGATACCTTACATTTTGGTAAAACTTTGTGATGATTTATTTGGAATAAGGTTTTCACGTATTATTTGCTCTATCGACAGTCAGGTGAAACACGATGGGACGAGGCTAGCACAAGATATTGCACAATTTTTAGACCAGTTTCTGCGTTCACGTGGATTGAAGTACCATCGTTTTGGACTGTTATCGACGCTTGTAGGGGTTAGCAAAGTGTTGATCTTTATAAATGCTTTCGTTCAGTTAATTTTACTGGATTTATCTTTATCATCACCAGGTACAAGAGGTTATATGCAACACATCGTTGAAAACTTGTTACAGAATAATTATTCAAATACCGTTTCATCGCCAGCTTTTCCTCGGCAGATCCAATGTTTGATATATATAAGAAGAGCACAGCATCTTTCTGTTTACTCAGCACAGTGTTCCTTGCCAATTAACGAATTTTATGAGCATGTTTGTCTTCTGCTGTGGATCTGGTTGTTTATTTTATGTCTTATTTCATTTGCTGGTGCTGTAACATTTTTGGTTAAAGCATTAAGACGAAGTTTCAGAGAGAGGCAAGTAAATTAACCACATAATGTTTTACATGTTTGTCTCTGAATTAAAAATTCAACTTTCCATGAACAAATAATAATCGAAAATGGGTACATGGGAAATGTTGAAGCCTGTCTTCACATAAAGATATAAAGATTAACACCTATGAAAATACTCAAACTAAACTTGGTATTTTGTCCTGACAACGTCAAAAAACTGTCTTGAATATCCCATATTACCATGTGAATGGTTTTGAACTACAGGTTCAACAAAAGCACTCAACTGACCCATCACGATTAGTAAAATTCCTCTGTTGAAGCAGTATCGATCTCTAACACTGCAAAGATACACATCTCCTTAAAATTGATGCTAATTGCACACAAAGTTCTTGCAAGAGAGTAATGCTTTATGTCATCATCATCTTAAATCATGTTTCTTCTATTCTTTTGCAATATACAAATGTAAAGAAACTTGAGCAAGTTGAGAGCATTCATTAATCTTTTTATTACATTTTCCCATTTTTCCTAGGACTTAATCAGATGCAAAATTAATTGGAAATTCTACATATTTGTAATTAGAACAAATGAAATATCTCCCGAATAGAAACTTAAAAATATAACATGATTATAGGGTTTTACATAGGCTATGAAATCAATCATTACACTTCAAAACGATTGCAAAATTATGTAGATGCTGTGTGTGTGTGTTTTGTTTTTTTTGGTTTTTGTTTTTTTTTTCCCTGACAAATATAACTATTTGATGAAGTTAAAACTATTTTTTTTACGTTTTGAATATATGAATCTTTGTTGTAACGGGTCAGTTTTTCAGCTATGTCTTTACATTCACTTATTGGTTTTTAAAAATTATTGGTAATACAATAATAGGCTCTATACGGTGGTTTGAGGATTTTATCCATATGTATTAAATTCTGCTTCACTTTTTCTTTTACTAACAGGTACATCATACGATATTTGAATATGAGTGAAATAGAGCCAGAGCCATGCAATATTGTTTCGTTCACAACTTCTGTGCTTGGATATGATGGTTTTCTTGTACTGGAAGCTATTGGTGAGATCTACTCTGATATACTGGTCCGTGATATAGTGATCAATCTTTGGAATGCAAATTACTCAGAACTTCAGCCAATTGAATTTTCACAGGAAAGTTTGCAAGTTCCAAATTCTAATTATTTAAAAGTACCCTTCAAAGAATCCAGAATAACTTTAGCGTCTAAGTTTTCTACACCTGAAACCACACCACTTATTACTAGGCGGTGTTTTAAGGTTTAACCCAACTGGTCGTATACAAGTGACCATTCATTTATTTTTTTGTAATCTGACTAATCCTCAGTCATACAGACAATCTCATTAATATTGCTGTAACTATTCGTGTTTGTCAGTTATTGTACATTTTGTATATAATAATTGTAGGAAATATTGTTCAAATAACAAAACAAAACACTTTCATCGATATCTAAGAATATGGTTCTTTATTTTTATCCAGTTTTTACTTAATGAAGGCAATAAAACTTTATTCCTTCAAATGTTTTACTCAAATTGACATTGTTAAAAACTAAACAATAATTGTTGTATACAATAAAATTTGCTCAGAAATTGCCAGTGTAAATTTTATAAGGGTTACAGTGATGTATATATATACCATCATATAACGCAGTGGAAGAAATGATGAATTGTTTGTTATATAAAACTCCAGTATTTCTTTACATGAACCTCTGATCTATTTCTGCCCAAAACCATGCAAGCGATTGATATAAACCTGGCTGCAAGTAAAATATTATCGCATGACTTCGGTAGTCTAATGATATCAATTTTGCCGAACTTGTATTGCCGATGAATTTTGCAGCACACAGTTTCTAGCTATCTATTTTAGTTATGGAGAAAATAGTCAAAGGGCATTTATCCTTCTATAATGGTCAAATGACAATTTCGGCCATGTTGACTCATTTGTAGATCTTAATTTGCTGAACATTTTTGCAACATAAAGATTCTTTTTATCTGCTATAGTTTCTGCATAGACAATAACTCCTTTAAGTGGTCAATTGACGATTTTGGTTATTTTACTTATTCGTAGATCTTATTTTGCTGAACATTTTTACTTTTACAGAGTCTCTCTATCTACCATAGTGTCCGCAAAAAATCAAAAATATGGTTAACATCATCATTTAAGGACAATAACGCATATAAGAGGTCAGTTGATGATCTTGGCCATGTTGACCTATATGTAGATCTGATAATTTTCGTCATTTTTACTATTAAAGTTTATTTATATCCTTTATAGTTTTCAAGATATAATAACCAAACACTACGAAATTTGATAAATAGGACATGTGGCAATAACTTAAAAATGAGTTATACGATTTTTGTGAGAACCTTGAACTGTTGATCATTTTTATCCGTGTCAGTTTTGCTCTAGCTGCTTTATATAAGATATTTGCCAAAAACTGCATGTATCCCCCTTTTATCTATTATTAGCAACAAAAGTCATGTTTGTTGATTGATCAAATCCCCGATATAAGTTTTAAACTTGATTCCCTATGGAACATTCAGGTATTGGTCGGGGAAAATCAGGATTTGTTTTTTTTAGATTTTGAAATTTCATTGATTTCTTTATTTTTATCCAATTTTTACTTAATGAAGGCAATAAAACTTTATTCTTTCAAATATTTTACTAAACTTGACATTGTAAAAAACTAAACAATAATTGTTGTATACAATAAAATTTGCTCAGAAATTGCCAGTGTAAATTTTATAAGGGTAACAGTGATGTATATATATATCAGCATATACCGCAGTGGAAGAAATGATGAATTGTTTGTTATTTAAAACTCCAGTATTTCTTTACACGTACCTATGATCTATTTCTAAAAAAAATAAAAAACCCTTCATTTAGACCAGTAACAGATAGAAAAGAAAAGAAAAACATGTTATTAAAGAAAATGCAGACCAATAAAAATTGCAAACTAAAGAAAAACAATGCAATCGAAGAAGCCAAAAAACATAAAAATGGGTAATATGCAAAAATACAGCGAAAACGTGATTTAATATATAAGTTATAAACGAGGTTAAAAGATAAAACACTTACAAATAATCCTTCGGATTTCAGGCAATCGTACCACGAAAAACCATGCAAGTGATTGATATAAACCTGGCTGTAAGTAAAATATTATCACATGACTTCGGTAGTCTTTTGATTTCCTGGGCAAACTTCTTCTACAGTGCACATGTATATGTCATTGGCACTCATACCGCATCTTCTTATCTATATTATTTTTTTTTGTATTATAAAGGTATTTAAATAAAAAAATAATCGGGGGGTTCACTGCGGCTTTCCATACATATTATATATTTGTTTGTATGTGATATGTATAAAATGCTAGATGCCCTTAGTTTAAGTGTGCTATGTTTGAAATATATATATATAAAATAAGGAAGTTTGGTATGATTGCCAATAAGACAACTATCCAACAGAGTCTAAGTGACGTTGATGTTTTTAAAAAGCATCTTTTGGTCAACGTACAGCCTTCAAAAATTAGGAAAAAATTGCATAGTCAGCTACAAAAGGTCCCAATATGACAAAATGTGAAACAATCAAAACAAAGATTTATAACAAAGTTATAAACGAAAAACAAATATATAAGGCAGCAACCATGGATAGTCATTGAATTACAGGATCTGGACGTGGGACATGTACATATAATAGAATGTAGCGGGGTTAAACATATTTGTGTGCGCTCAACCCTCCCCTTCTGTGGTGAAATTCTATATACTTCATTTTAATCAATGTTATTTGTCAAAAGCTTGTGATTCGTAAAATAACAATTATTCGTAATAATATATGAAGATATATTACTTTTTACCATCCTGAATGATTGCATTTATACCAACTGATTCACGACAAAGAAGTTGTGTTATTGACGTTTTCCAGAACTGACCATTGCTGTACAGATCATTAACCAATCTACAATTGCTTTAGATCTCCGCTTAATTGGTAGATGATCGCTATCAAATTGACCTATTTGGATCTATTTCCTTAATAATCATCAAGATTAGTTTTCTTGATCGATGAAATTATCAGGAAGAAGATCTACCACTCTCATTTCATAACATACAAACCCGGATTTTGTTCTCGAAACCAGCAAGGCGGTCTATGAAAGATACATAACAAAATAAATCACCTCTGCGTTCAACAGTGAACCGCACGACCTTTGCTAATTGGTTTATTATTTACTTTGACCGCAATGAAGAAATTAAGTATTCACTAGTGGTTTCTTTAACACCTTCTGTGGTTATTCTGTTCTAACAGCGCCATTGGTTAAAACTTAAATCTTCAGTAACTGTCTTAACTCAGAACTTCTTGTCTCTTGTTATTTCCTCGCATAATATTGTACAAAATACCAATAAGATGCCTTCGGTCCATTTCAAACGATTATTACAATGTATCATTTTCACATAACTGTCCCAGATAAGATCCTTTGGTAGGAAGAGTTCACATTACGATGTTAAACCCCAAAATAATAGACGTGGGTTTGACGTATGGCTTTTGACGTGACTAGGTATTTGTGCATCCTGCTTTCGGGTTTCCGATTTTATGCGTTCTTAATACGGGTGGGTCCAGAGGTGCGATTTGTAAGTATACAATTTTTAAAGTGTTATTTTCACTTTGTATACCCTTGTATTCATACTTTGCTTAATTTGTATTTTATCGGGAAAGTATATTTATTGCATTATGTTTTACTAAACTGTACTATCAACTCCAAAATGTTATTTTGTTGGCGTCTTTGTTAGTTTTAATTGTATGTTTATTTGATTTTAAGTCAGTTGTGTTGTACATCTACGACGGATGTTTACACAATTTTGGCTAATGGGTCTCATTTATTGTCACATTAACTATATTTTTCTATTTGGGTTGCTCACACAATTGTGTCAATATAACGGAACTATAAACAATTTTCATACAAGTGAGGGAATAAACAAGCAATAAAACCAGGTTTAACCCACCATTTTCTTCGGAAAATGCCTGTAACAAGTCCGGAATATGACAGGTTGTTTTCCAGTCGTTCCGTTGGTTGATATAGTCGAGCGTTTGGATTTGTCAGTTTTCTGAACCTTTTTGAATTTACCTTAGAGTTCGGTTTTTTTGTCAATACATTTTTTCTAAAACAATATTTTGATGTCCAGTTTTCGGCTACAACTGTTTTGCTTTTTATATTATTCGAATTTTTATAAAGATGCATTTTGTGATTTAATTTGGGATTTTGCTTCTCTCACCGTAACGATCCATATAGATGTAAATTAAATTTAAAACAGACTTGATTTTAATATAAATTTGCAAAGATCGATGGCTCGCACGTATTCAACTTTGACTATTTTTATACCAGTAATTAATAATATTTCAATAAGAATTCAAATTGCTATTCACTTCTTACGCAAGAAGGAATTTTAATGAAAAATAAATGCAATATTCATCACCTATGTCATTATTTTTTTGTATTTGTTGCATGTTTAGTATTCTGAAATTAAATGTATTATATGAATGTGAAAGAAAACCTTACACAGCAAAAAACTACGGAAGCCCTGGAGTGCCATCCAAAAATACAATTACAACTTGTGCGCACAAGTAACACAACTTATGCGCACGAATTACACAACTTGTGCATACGAGTTACTAACTTGTGCGCACAAATTACACGTGTTCTAATTGACTGCGCTGATTTTGCTAAGAAGGCTGATTTATGGAACGCCGTAGCCGCCTAATGCAAACATATGTTTATATATGCACATACTTTTCAATATCTGCACATACTTTTTCTATATATGCACATACTTTTCCTATATATGCACATAGTTTACTTTATATGCACATACTCTTCCTACATATGCACATAGTTAACCTTATATGCACATACTTATTCTGCATACGAACGTAGTACTTCATGTACATACTTTTGTCAATATGAACATAGTTTTTCAATGTAAGAATTACCATTCATATGATACTTTTCTGTTGTTTTTCAGACTGAAATAAGGATCACAATACCATGAGAAGAATGTTTATTAAGTTTTTCTTAATGATGTATGTGGCTCAGTTTAAAAATAACCAACTTTTGGAATCATTTTTATATTACTGCAAATTTTTTGTTTTGTTTTATGATGGTATGGCGCTATTGTCTTCATCCGTAGTCACTACTTTGTCATGTCATAACTTTGTATTAGTCGATTTGTTTGTATTGAATTTTAACACAAGGTTTCTTACCACTAATGGCACGTTGGAGCTGATTTTAGTGGTTGTTGTCCCAACTGTTCAGTGATAAAGGGTCAAAAATTTTAAAAAAGCATTTATAAAACTTAACTTAAATTGCCTACTTCTTTTACTGTCAAATATACAATGTATTAGTTTTGTCTTAAAATTATTTGAATAATTGTTAGCATGACTACATTGTTGCTAAGTAACGACCAATGGTAATCACATCCATCTTTGGTTGAAATTTTGTGTGGTGGCCTTTATATTACTTTATGTTTGCATTCTATGGGTTGGTTGGCTCTAATTTCTTACCACTAATGGCACGTTGGAGCTGATTTTAGTGGTTGTTGTC